CGGAAATGCATATTTTCACTTTTTCATTCTTTCTTCTTTTTTTCGCCTACCCCTCTTCACCATACTTCGCGTTGTTTGTTTTTAAGCCTGTCTGTTGCTCATTGGAATGATGGGTTGAGGTGGACAAACAAACATCAGTTCACATTGGCACATTTTAGACAAAAAAGCACATTGTTGCTTTTGTTTATGTCTTCAAAAAAAGGAGGGAGAAGGTCGGCATGCCAGGCGCATGTCCTTATAATTTTGTGAGAGCCTCCAAAATTCCAAGCAGAACTCCCATTCTCATCGATAGTGAAAGTACTGCATGAAACCGAAATCAGTTCTTTGCGGATTTTCGTGCTGTCAACTCGGATCGGATATTTGAAAACACGAATTGTAATCGACTAGAATTTAATATATTATAGAACAACTTGAAGTATGATTTAATGATATTCAATAAAAGAAGAACGAACGGCAAAGTTTTCAAGTGAAGTGTGTTAATGTGTTGTTGAATTTATATTATTAAAGGACATTACTGAAAAATAAAATTAAATTAAAAACCAATACTCCATTTAGTGCCTTCTTTTGAAAAAACGTTCAATTATACTAAATAATATAGGTCAAACTTACCATATACGAACCTCGGTCAAAATAATAATTTATTTAATAATACTTCTATAGAATTTCCTCAATAGTTTTTCAATTAAAATCCTTTAATCCGTGTTTTAGAGGAAGATTCAAAATTATTCTGAAATGTATCTGAAAATATACAAATGTTTGATTCTTTTTTCAGAGGAGAAAATTTTGAAAGATATTTGATTTTAAAAGATTTATGAAATATTTATTTTTTTTCTTGTAAATTGAGCATGACCAACAAGTAAAAAAGCTGTAAGTTCGACCGAGCCGATCTTTGAATACCCTCCACTATTTGGAACGATTTTGGCAATTTTCAAAAAAAAAAAAAAAAAAAAAATAATAATAATAATAAAATCCGTAAAAATCTTAAAAATACCGAATTTAGCCGTTATATTAGGGTGTATACGACGACGTGGACCTGCATGGGCAAATTTTGTCATAAACCATTACAATATTCAAAGCGAAACTTGATTAAAAAAAATTCTGTGAATAATGTAGCTAAAATCATCAAAATTCCGAATATAGGGAGGTACCGTTATATGGGGCCTATAAGAAGATGTTGACCTGAACAGACAATTTTCTGTCAAAGGCTGTAGTACCCATTACGAACTTCAAATACCAAATTTGAAACATTTCCGGTGAATAATGTCGCTCAAGTCACCAAAATACTGAAAACGTGGACCTACATCACCTATTTTCAATACCAAAAATCCTGCAGACATAATAAACATTTGAGTAAAATTTTATCAACCTACTTCATTTGTTCGGAAGCTAGAATGATTTCCACAGACGGACGGACATCGCTGAATCGACATAGAATTTAATGCTGAACAAGATGTGGGATGTATTTATCACATGAAACAGCAAGCACTGACAATCAGTAAGCCACAGCCAGAAGAAAAGTAGAGTGAGATAACGATGAAGTGGTTGGATTTTAATTAAGTAGCGTTGTCGGTCATACAACAGCTGTTTTTCAATCCCAGTAAGAATATGGAAACTCTCAGTAACTCCAGAACTATCTTCACTCGCTCTCATAAACATACAAAAACAAAAGCAAACCTTTGCTAAAAATAGAAACAATTTTGAAAAAAAGTAAAAATTCAGCCAAGTTCGGCCGTTGAACCTTCAATACTCTGCACCATTTGGAAGGAACTTGCGAAATTTAAAAAAAGAAAAATGCCGCACAAATTTTAAAACGTCCAAATATCAGTTATGTACGAATATTTACCTATATGAAAATGTGGATTAGGACCCATTGCGAACTCCAAATTTGAAATAATTCCGCTAAAAATGGAGCTAAATCATCAAAATATCAAATATAGGAAGGTACCGTTACTCAAACTCTAAATACCAAAATTTAATGCAGTTCCGGTGAAAATGTGACACAAATCATCGACCCCGAATATCGGAGGTACAGTTATATGGGGACTAGACCTAAACATTGATCTATTTGGTGGAGGGTATGATAATTAACTGTTCTGTTCCGAAACCTGCAACAATCCACTAGTTTTGCAATTTTTTCAATATAATAAAGGAAAATCGGTTAACGTAGTAAAAATTTATTTTTACATTCTTGCAGTTCTGGAATTTTGTCTTTATTAATAAACTGTGCCAGAACTGCAAGAATGTAAACAATTGCTCTGTTCCAGAAATGCCAGGATATAAAAATGTTTACCACGATAACACAACTTTCCTTTATGATTTCGAAAAAAAAAATAATTGCTAACTTGCTAACTAAGCAATGATCGATATTTTCAATAAATGTTCTCATTTGTTAAGGTGAGAATAAAAAAAAGCTTTTTAAACTGGCTTCAACATCGGCAGGCTCCTACGTAAATTAGTAAAAGAGTTTTAGGTTGACAATTTCAGCAATAATTCATACTTGCTCGCCCTACGCTCCCTTGTTCTTTTATAAAGAAGCCAGCCGATGACTTAAGCCAGTTAAAAAAACGCGGAGAGCGACCATCGGCTGTTATGGCGGCCCACACCACACCATGGTGGCCAACCGAAGGTGCACATTTTCAGCTGACCTCTTTGGCAAGTAAATACGATCATTTTGTTTGTTTACAAACTGCTGGACGACGAATGTTTTCTCATTGGAGAAAACCAAATTCGGCCGTCCACCACTTTTGGTCAAGCAAAGCAACTCTTTAGCTCTTTTGAGTCTATTTTCTTTCTGTAGAGGTGTAAGTTCTTGCATTTTTTGGAATTTCAATGGCTTAACCCCGAGCTCTTTTTTCAATATTTGCCGAATGGAATATTGCGATATGTTCAGCTCACGAGCCATTTTTCGGCCACTGTAACGAGGGTTTCGATCAAGTCGCTTCTTTACTTTTCGCACCATTTCTGCTGATGTTGCTGTTTTCTTCCGTCCACTTCCTTGACGTCGGGCTACGCTACCAGTATCACGGTAACAAGCGATGGTACGAGACACAAAAGATTTATTCACATTTAAATGCTGGAGTGCTCTAACGATAGCCACTTGTGGGTTTCCAGCCAAATATAAAGAAATCACACTATCACGCTTGAATTCAATCACGAATAACTTTTTTTCTGGATAATTCTCACCAAAATGCTCTTTTTGTACGCTTGTAAACAATATAATGAGCTATCACTGGAATAATTTTAACAGCTGTCGGACCAGGGCTTAGAAAGACAGCAGTCTAAAGTGGGTTGCGGTTTTTTCATCTCACCTTGTATTGATTTCCCAAATGCATGCAATTGGTTGGGAGCCCGCATTGTGTTATGGTGGAATTAAGTTTGTCGGACTCAGGATCTCAAGTGCTTCATAAAGATGCCCATATTTTCTTTAATGGCTTTCAAAACAATAATAATAGCAATGTTGCTTGTTGAAGTTAATATTGCATGTCTTAGGGTAAGAATAAATAAAACGCTTTCTTGACTGGTTTAAATCATCGGAGTGAAGAAGTTTTAGGTTAACTTAGTTCGATTTCGGCCCCATCATTTAAGCTTGTTCACCTCACGCTCCTTCATTCTTCTCCAAAGAAGCCAGTCACAGAAGCCTTTTATGTATTCTCACCTTTATAACGGTATAATTAGACCCGTGTTATGGAAATCCGACAAAGAATCTTAAACGTAGCTTATTTCTATTTTTCACATTTTACACAAAATTCTTATTATCTAAAATAAGCAAAACGAAAAATTACTGAATTATTCTTGTGTTGAGGCGAAAATATAAGGGGTGGGTGCGTAAGCAGCTAGAAGTCTTTGCATGGCATATTTTTTGACATATCATAAAGGGATGCCAGAGCCGCACGCGAATTCTGCAGTCGTTTACCCTTATAATTTGACAGACTGCTTATGTACCCTCAATGAAGACGAAGAGTTGTAGTTTTGGATAATTCGTCTACTAGTCAACCTTATAATTGGGCCATGTACCCAAACTCTAGTTTATATAAATAGGTCTGCCTATGGTTCAACCTTTGTACAGAAAGGAGGTACAACAGTTTCGTTAAACGACACAAATACAGCCCTGAAGCTATAACCGCTTCCTGTCAGAATTATTCAAATATTTATGCAACAAGTTTTTTCATTTATTTCATATTTTTTATCATTCAAAATGAATGAAATGTCTGTATTTTCTTTCAAAAATATGATCCAAACTGTTTAATCAAAACTGGTTAATATCTCTAATGCGCGCCCTGCAATATAGGTTTCTTCCAATCTTTGACTATGAAAATATTTTGTTTTTAAAAACAAAAAATACATACGGAATTGCTCATATCACACCATAATCTACGATACCACAACGTGGTTTATATTCTTACAGTTCTGGAACAGACCCAATATTGACAGAAGGAGGCCATACTTAGAAAATATTGTAATCAGCTGGTAGCTCAACCTAACCTTTTCATTGTATCCTGGGTACAATAAAAGTAAAGATAGAATTCCGGTAACAATTTGCAAACTCTCAGTAAAAGAACTGTCTATTTTCCAAAAATTTTTTTGTAACAAACGATTTTCCGTTACACACAAATGTTAACAAATTTTGGTGCAACCAGATAAACCTAATACGTAACGATAAAATTCAAACATTTGACTGTTACAGTTTACGAAAAAAAAAATGAAACATATGGCAAGTTAGATTTAATGGCAACCCCTTATGTTTTTGATATTCTTGCCTTCCACATCATATGGAGCAGCACACTATTGGCAGATCGCGCCGTGTTGCTCGTAACAACAAAAAACAGCTGTTGGAATGTCAGTGCAAACATGGAATTGGGGATACCATGAATCCCCCCACTGCACATAAACAAAATAATACGAAAAAGCAAGCAAACTCACACACACCAAACGAACCCACAATAAAAACAACAACAACAACTTGTACGTCAGACGCACCACACGAAACGAAACCAAAACAAAACTTCGGTTGATGCGAGAATCCCCCGAAAATACTCGTACGAAACGGTTGGAGCTCTCTCGCATTGAACGACGTTCCACATTAGCAAATTGGAGTTCGCCGCGTTCAGTTCGTTCGTCATTTCCTTTCGGGCAAACAGTGAATAAGAATTTCAAAACCAAAAGGCAATAAAAAAAATAACAAAAAGAAAAGAACACTGGCGTTTATTGTGTTTGCAATAGCACGGCCGACGGTATCCGTTTTAATTCTCTATTTTTGATAGTTTTTCTCAATATCACAACAAATGAGGGAGACAAAATTTTAAATAAAACGTGCATCGAATCGACTCGGAAATGCAACGCAGAAGGAGAATTGCTTAAAGTGCAAAAAAAAAACAAAAGTATGAAAATGACATCGTTAAAGAAATCAGAAATGTGGGAATAATACACCCAGTGTGAATTAAGAATTCCTATCGGAAGCGAGAAGCACAAGAAAGCAATTGAAACAACAAGATCTACATTGTGGCAAGAAACGACCTTAAATTAATAAAATTAAATAAAAAAGAGAAAAAATAAATAAATAAAATAAAATAAACAATAGGGTAAGTGTTCCTAAGTTCGGCATGTCCCAGTAGTCGGCACTTTTTATTTTTAAGACCAAATAAATGAAACTATTATAACTAAATGTATTTTGTTTACTTCAAATATATTGTCAGCTATCTTTGTGCACAATTTCACTAAGAAAAGATGATTTATTCTAATAAAAATTAAATTTTTGTCTGTGAAGGTCCTCAACAATTCATATTCTTAAGAAAAGTACAATAAAGACGTCGAATCAGTTTAACTAATCAAAAATATTATATTTTAATGATTTAATTTATTATTATTATTAATTATTCTTACAAAAAAATTGGTATGCCGACTGTTGGAACATGCCATACCGGCAATTGGCAAGTGGTGCCGACTACTGGCAAAAAAGCATTGTTTTAATAAAACTACAAATGTATGAAATTTAATAAAAAGTTATTAAAACTTTATTTATTATTGCAAAAACTATACAAATTTTCCAATCTGAATAAATTAACTTTGTAATAATTGAAAAGTTCCACTCAGAATGGTGAGCAATTAAAAACGCGATAGTCCTAAAAGTGCCGACTACTGGTACACTTACCCTACCTACCAACCAACCAATTTTATGTTTTGAATGATACAGCGGCTAGGCAACAACAATTGATGAGCCAGCAGTGAATAAAATAAGAAATATTTTCAAAAAAAAATGTTCTCAGTTGTGTTCGCATGATTATTGTGTGGCGCGTGTGAGGTGTAAAACAATTAAAACACAGAAACAAAAAAGCAAGATGAAAAACAAAGTAAAAAATGTTGTGCGAGTGTTTTTATTTTAATTTTGAGAGGAATTCCTAATTGAGTCTTGGGGGCATGGGAGAGACGCTGCCGCCGCCGCTGTTGCTGCTACTAATATCGATCTCCGTGCTGTCTGTGGCAGCAATCACATTCATATTGTTATTATAGTTTGTGCTCTTGTTTTTTGTTTTAATTTGGCATGTGGTAATCGGTTGTGATCTTTTTCAATGGGCCTGTAGGAATTGATACTAGTTGGACACTAATTAGATCGGGCAAACTATCGATATCTACAACATTCGATATTTTGAGTAAAATCGTGAGTTTTTCATTCATATTTGAAGTGGTATAAGAGCTCAATGAGGTAGTAATCTGAGTTGCGTTTTACTACAACATAGTAACTGGGTTAATTGTCTTCCATACCAGTACTACTGACCAAGTTTAGACAAGTAATGTTTTTTTCCTATAGACATTTTGTATGAGCTTGTCATTTGTGAGTCACTAGTGGCAAGAAAGAAGTCGTAAATTTGATTTAATTATATATTTAAACAAGTTAAAAAGCAGTAAGTTCGGCCGGGCCGAACTTTGAATATCCTCCACCATCAGGAACGAATTTGGAAATTTTCAAAAAATAAAATCCGTTAAAATTTCTGTTAAAATCTTAAAAATCCCGAATATAGCCGTGGACCTACACAGGCTTAGTTCGTCATAAGTCATTACCATATTCAAATTCGAAACATGAAATAAACGGTGAATAATGTAGCTAAAATTATCAAAATACCGAATATTGGGAGCTACCGTTATATGGGGGCTATATGAAGACGTGCAAGACCTACAGAGACAATTTTCTGTCTTAGGCTGTAGTATTCATTTCGAACTTCAAATACCAAATTTGAAACAATTCCGGTGATGAACGTCGCTAAAATTATCAAAATACCGAATATCGGGAGGTAGAGGGAAACGTGGACCTACATGGCCCATTTACCAACCTGCCTACTGGCAAAATAAACATGTGTGCAAAATGTTAGCCTTCTATCTCAATTCGTTCGAAAGATAGCGTGATTACAACAGACAGACAGACGGACATCGCTAAGTCGACTTCGAATTTTACGTTGATCAAGAATATATATACTTTGTTGGGTCTTGCATGAGTATTTCGAGGAGTTGCAAACGATATGACAAAGTTAATATACCCTCCATAGTATGGTGAAGGGTTTAAAAAGCAAATCCTAACAAATTTTATAAAAACTAAAAACTTTGGAACTCTCACTATTTTTTTTATACCCTCAGCCATATGGCTAGATAGGGTATATATCAGCTGATAGGTCAAAATGTGCCTCATCGAAATAACGGGTTTAGACCCTAGGTCTCTTTGGATCAAATCCGTTTCAGAACATTTGGAGTCGATCTAGCGATGTCTGTCCGTCTGTCTGGCTGGTTGGTGCGCACGATAACTCTCAAAGGGAGTATCCGATTTGGTACAAACTTGGTACATTGTAATATTATTATCAAACTTGGATCGAGTTCGGAGTTGGGCACATCGGTCCACTCCTTCTTGCACCTCCCCCACAAAAGGTCGAAATTTTCAAAAAAATATTTAACTGCACAGAAAGGAAAGGATGGTCCGATTTTCGTCCAACTTTGCAAATCCTAGTATTTGCATTAGTGCTAGGTCAGGTTCTAAAATGGACAGTATCAGTCCACTCCATCAAGTATCCCCCCACAAAGGGTGACAATTTTGAATAATTATAACTCGTATAAAATGTGAAGTAAAAGTCCGATTGTCTTCAAATTACATACATCACAAAATTTATTTTTATCGACCCAGGTTCTGGTGTGAAGTTTGAATATATCGGTCCATTCGTTCTGATACCTTTCCCACAAAGGGTCAACATTTTGAATATCTATGAAGCTCATAAAACGCGAAATTAACATTCGATTTCATTCAGACTTAGTACATCTCAATATTTCTATCAACACAAAATCTGTTATAAAGATGGTAGAGATCGGATCATTCCTTTTGGTACCACCCACACATAAGGTTAAGATTTTCCAAAACAAAACCCTCCAAAATAAACGCTCAAAGACGATGTATATCTGCGAACCACTTCTGGTACCTCAACCACAAAGGGTCACAATTTATTTTCGTCGTTCATTTATCGACAAATTTAGTTGATTGTCGAAATTGTAAGCAATTTAAAAAATTATGTTAAAAATTTAAAAACTGTTTTAAAAAACCTTTTAATGCCATGTTTACGTTAGAACTTTTTGTAGGGTTAACCTACTTTGAGAGGATTTATTTGAAGTAAAAGTAATGGATATGACAATTTAAATCCAAATCCAATAGGTTAACCCTCATATATATAAACGTACTGTAATATTCCACAATCCCAATTACTGGCATTTCGTCTGATATTATCGATAGAATATAAAATAACTCATCGATTTTCCTTTCCAGTAGCTTCCTTCCCTCAGAATTCGTAAATCCCAATATATATGCCAATTTAAGATGTAGTGCAACTTCTGGTCTGGTCTCATTTTGTTTGTGGCAATGGCCCATTTTGTTTTTAAAAAACGCTGGCGACGTTGTACTTCTCAAACCACTCGTATTGAATCAAGATTTTACTTTATGTTTGTGTTGGTGTTTTGGGGGATTCCCGTTGAAGTCGCGCTGTTATTTGGGTTGTAGGCTTAGATATATTGTGTTTAGAAATATTGAGTAGTTGAATGTCGGTGTCTGATGATGATATTAAGAAAGTAGGCTAACAAAACCAGTCAAAAGCGAGTATTATTGTCATTTAAATAAAATGTACGTGTATCACATGATTTAGAAATAGGTGAACGGAAAAATTTAATAACATAGCCGATAATAATAATAATAATAACATCTATAGGATATTTTCATCTATAGGTATTTCAAATAGGTAATTTCACCTGTTTTTGAGATAAAAATTAAAAGCAATTTTTTTAAATGTTTACTCATTTTTTTGGGAATAATTGTTAATCATAATTGTATTCTTTTGCGGGGAGGTGGAAGACGGAGTGAGTCGATAAATTCCATATTCACATCAGAACTTTGATTGAGAAAAATATATAGATATACGAAATTTGAAAAGAATCGGCGAATTGTTTCGCACATCATGAGAGATATAAGTATTGTAAGCCATGAACATTTGTGGGAGAGGTACAAGAGAGGGGGTAGGCCGATATCTATCATTTTCACATCGGAACTTGCGTTAGTAAAAATATTAAGATGTGTGAAATTTGAAAAGAAGCTGATGCTTATTTCGCATTTTATGAGAGATATAATTATTCGAAAATTTGACCCGTTGTGGAGGAGGTATTAGATGGAGTTGTCCGATATATTCCATTTTTATACCAGGTATTGTGTTGATAGAAATATTGAGACGTGCCGAGTTCGAAAGGAATTTGATGCTCATTTTACGTTTTACGTACTTCATGATTTTTCAAAATTTTGGCCCGTTGTGGGGGAGGTACCAGAAGGAGTGTACCGATATATACGTCAGATCTTGTGTTAATAAAAATTTTAAGACAATTGGACATTTTTTTAATATTTTATAAGAATTATAATTTCCCACGCACGGCACGTTTTGGCCGTATCAAACAATATACAGGGTGAGATAAAAACTGCAACAAAGTCAAACGTCATAATTTTTATTTTTTTTTTTTAAATTTTATTGAATGAAAGCAAAAAATGTAGGAAATAGCATCAAATTTTAGAATAAGTTTAGATTTGTTCGAATTGGTCACCTTTGGCACGAATTATGGCCTTCAAACGGCCAATGAAACCGTCACACGTTGCCCGAGTGTTGCTCTGCGTTATTCTGGCCCATTCCCGACGAAGCGCTTGCTTGAGATGATCGGCACTTTGGTA